CCATAATCTCACTTCCATTATTAATTCATTTCTGCACCTTTGGGTCTCATTACTTCCTTCATTAGCAGTGACTGTCTTGGCTTAAGCAAAAGCAGGAAAAAAATAAAAGCCAGATGTATATATTAAAAAAAAAAGAGAAAAAAAAAATCAATATATTTTAAGAGTGTTTATGTACATGAACTTCACAGGCCACAAATGATTCAACAGAACCAGACTGACAGCAAAATTTCTCCTCATGTTGTTGCATGGCTTGGCTCATACACACTGTTCGCATTAGTTCCCCAACATCTTTCCCAATTAGTTGCCCGTCTCATGAACCCCCTTCAGGAGAAAATTGACCAGCAGCTTCTAAAGCTATACTTCAAATAAAAAGAACCCTGCCCTGCAGTCAGAGAGAACTACAGAGGAAAGATATGAAGGCCACTTGCAGACATTAAAATTTAAAAAAAAAAATTTTAAATGGTGCTTTACTATGAATTCGGCATACCGAGCCCACACCGAGCCCAGCACATGCCCAGAAGAGGCATTACCTTAGTTGGACCCAAATCACTCAACATCTGTATAGACTGTGTGCTTTAGTTGGGGCTTTTATGGCTCTTTTATCTAATAGCCGACTGAATCAGCTATTGGAGAGAAGCACCAAAAAAGTCCTGATAAAGTGCCTGACCTACACAGACACTGCAGAGCCAGGTCAAAGTAACACGCTGTTTCTTCCAGTAAAGCATGGTTCTTGTTGTTTTGTTTTTGTTTTTTATTTAACAACCGCAAGTAGTCAAGTTAACACTTCAATTATGACTTAACTAAGCAAAAGAATTGAGGGACATGATTTCATAAGAAAGTCAATGCTGACAAGTGCAAGATTTTGCCCTTTGAAAGAGTAAACTAAATTTATCATACACAAGAATGGAGTTTAAATTCATTCCAATGCTCTAAGAAAAAGAGACACACACTGACACCACTGTGGAGAGTTAAATTAAACAGTTCAATTAAAGCCTCTAATAAAATACACAGCAAACAAATTACAAGGATGCAAATGGAAGGCATAGTTGCATTATAATCTCTATCAATAAATGGTACCCTGACATTTGGGATGCAGCACTCCAGTCTAACCACCCTCACCAAAAACAGAATATAGCAGGTTCAAAGATGAACCTGTGATGAAAAGAGAGGCAAGGTGAAACTTCCAGACAGGGAAAGATTGAAAGGACTGGAGCTGTGTAGTTCACAGAAGAGACAAAAGGGACTATATAAAAGGAAGAGAGAGGGGAAGAAGGGTGCTTTTATATACCCCCTGCAAAGGCGTGCAGAGGGAGGAGAAGAAACAAATAACAGATGATAACAAAAAGGTGGAGAGGAGGAAGCCAAAAGAAAATCAGATTGAGGAAAAGAAAAACATTCTGAAAAAAATCAAAAAGGGTGAAATTCCCCATGGTGCAAAAGGCCTGCTGAAGGCCATCTGCACAACTTAAGACCCATTCTTCAGCAAGAAAAAAACAGGGAGAACAGACAGAGATGGGTCTCCACACCTGGGCTAAAATAGGACAAAAAATGGGAACTGAGATAAGGATAAGGAAGGAAAGGATAAATAAAGGTTTAATACTTTAATACTGAGATTCAATATACTTGAATATATACAGCTTGGCCCCATCCCCTGCACGCGCCACTGCCTGGGCCACACCTGTCAAGCACCGAGCCCAGCCCTGAGAGCAGTGCTGCCTTGACTGTGCCAGCCGAGCCCGGTCCCAGACCCTGCAAGCAGTATGTGTCCATCTCCCAGTTGCCTGGCCCACAGTGAGGGCATCCAGAAGCCGATATAAATTGACCCCATATTTCTGGTCGAAGAAGTTAGGATTTTCATAGATCTGGTGTAAAAGCTGACTTAACTTCTTGGATCAGAAATATGGGATCAACTTATGCACTGCTATCAACTTGTACACCATGAAATACAGGAACTCAAATGTGCTAAGGTCTATGTGATACCAGTTTAGAAGTGAGCTACTGAAATGTATGTTTTAATATTCTACTGAACTAGATATATACATTTAGCACTTGATTGTGGGGGACTAATGTATATTATAATTTTTCTGCATTCCAATATATATTAATGTTGGAATGCAGAAGAGTTACATTTTCATACATCTTCTGGCAATGTACAACTTTAATATCTTACCAGGGTGCTACTAGATGCTTGGTTTTGCTATATGCCCTTCAATAACATTTACCTCTGCGCTCTCTCAAATCTTAGCACTCAACCTGCAAATCACAAAAAGGTCTCTGAGGGCTGCAGTCATCCTTCCTTTCATTACCACTAGATCAGAGAAAATTTCTAAAATGTTTTCCCTGTTCTAGTATAGGATTAATAATATAAAAAAATTAAGACCCACTACCCCAAAATAAGTAGGTGGAAGAACCTAAAATGAATTGCTGGTGGAGTAGTCATTTATTGATACAGTACATTTAATATTTTTCCTCAAACAGTTATATTAAGTTATTCTTTCAAAATGACCAGTGTTAGTGCTTAAATTCCAACAGCCCTAAATCGGTTTCACTCCTAGGAACTGCTATTTGAAAGTTAACATATAACATGCTTCATTTCTAACCCACCACTACAGATAAAAATGATACTTGAAAATAAACCATATTTAAGTGAAAATGATTCTTGTACCGTTTCCTGATTCTAACCCAGATTAGCCACCCAAATCCTAAAATCCTTCTCAGAACTGGAAATGACAACAGCTATAATATGCACAAAGGATATAGCAACATTTAAGTTTTGTGAGTTAAATAATGAGAGGTTGCCAATTTTATTGAGCTTAGATATCAGCATTTAAAAGATATATGGAAATAAGTATTATAACTCTCATCCAACAATTAAATGTAAAATGCAAAAGGAATTGCAACACAAGGGGTTCAGAAATATAACAAAGCAAAAGTTAATACAGAAACAGGAGCCAGTGAAGTGACATGAGCCAAGAATGAGCAGGAAGAAAAACAACCTTCCCTTGGAGATACAGCAAGATGTAATCAGCTCCTGATTTAAAATACTACAGACCATGATCTCTTGCTCAAGTGAACACTGGCAGGTTCCATGGTCTTCTGCAGGAGCCACATATTTTAGCATTTCACAGGATCGAGCCCAGTTTTAGTAAAGCTGGTTGCAACTCTGCTGCATATGATCAAAGTATTTTCCAAAGTAATTTCTGCTCTGCCTATGCAACACATCCCTCTTGGAGGTCTGATGTGTTCATGCTTTCCTAGAGAAGCTCCAAACAGTGTACTAACCTCTACCCATCGAGGAGGCTAACTCCAAACCAAAACTGAAACAAGCGGCCTGGGAAATTTAGGGAGATTTGCACAGTACCCACCCAAAATGTACATCCCTCCTGTTCCTGTAGGAATAATGAGTGATCTGAAGAGTTAGAAAGGTTAGTAACCCTGAAATGAGTAAAAGGACCCTGTTAATTAATGAAAGGGGGAGTATTGACAAGTTTATGCTCTTTGGTTTTTATAAATGAAAAAGGAACTGAAATATTTGTATCAGGGGAACAGAAAGTTATGCGGGCATTTCAAAAGGCTATACTCAATTCTCCCCCCCCACCCTTACCAACCTTAAAACAGTTCTTTTTAAACCAAGCCAACTGCCCTGTGCTGTTTTTCTAGATGTGGATACTGTAAGCAAACTAAATGTCAGGAAGAAATAATTCTTGCAGCATGAATCGGTCGGTCAGCTGTGATAAAAAGAGCTGCCCTTCTACAGATCAGAAGGGCTAAATCTTATTCCAACTTTACATGCCTAAGGAGCAGTTATACAGTTGCATAACTGCAATTTTTGGCATTTATGAAGAATTTGGATTCAATTTCCAACTGTGACAGGATACAACCACACAAATTTAGGCATACCTGCTGGAAGTGGAACAGGGGAGTTAGAGGGACCTTGCAGCCTTAGCCTGATAACCTAGTGGCTAAGGCATTTGACCAGGGCATGGAAAACCCAGGTTCTAGGCCCCATTCGTATAAATTTAACTTAAAACCTACATCTCCCACTTCCCAGCAAAGAACTCTAACCACCGGGCCATGCCTTACCCATCCCTTGGCTGCCCAGTAGGCAAGAAGAGGGCTAGAGAAGGAAGAAAGATATGTGGGGTCAAGAAGGGGTAAACAAAGCAGAAGGAAGTTCAGCAACATAGCTACTAGCCTGGAAGATCCTGTGTTCTGGCCTTACAACAGCCATTTTGCACCTTGTTCATAACATTTGTTGAATAAAACAGATATAGCACCTCGATAGTTTCTTTCCCACTGGGGACCACAGCAATGTCCACATTGCTGACCATCCTACCTTTAGTTTAATTTGCCTCCTACAGATCCTATATAACCTCCCCTCCTGTCTGCCTAATAGAAGGTTTAGAGTTTGCTCTGTCTAGTATCTAGCCCAGGGATGGGCAAAATGCAGCCCACCAGGCCATTCTATTCAGGCCATGGGGCCCCCCCAAAATTAAGAAAACTAATATTTATCTGCCCCTGGCTGCCTGTCATGTGGCCCTCAATGGCTTGCCAAAACTCAGTAAGCGGCCCTCCGCCCAAAATAATTGCCCACCCCAATCTAGCCTATGGCCTAGTCATTGGAACAATTTGCTAAGAAATATGCACTGGAAGTACAAACACCTTTCAGGTGAAAGAGGCCTAGAACTAAGGTCTTGTAGTACCTGGTTGAGTGCCCTAACCACTAGCCTATGGGGCAAAGGAGGAGGACCCTTCTCCTCTTCCAACTTGTTGTGGTTTCTCTACAAATAAGTTTTGGGAACTTGTTCCATATTAAACCTGTGCCCAAGAGCTTCTGTTCCAATGTGGCGCCTTCACAGACAGCGTGGAGCCTTCTGAACACGCTCTCAAGGAAAGTATAGGTCACAACAACACAGAAGCCAAACCCTGTTTAAGCACCAAAAATTGCAGTCGCACAGCTGTGCAAGTGCCACTTAGGTATGTAAAAGATGAAGCAGGATTTCATACAAACATAGAGAAGCTGGGCTGGAAAGGACCTCCAGAGGTCTAGTCCAACCCCCTGCCTAAGGCAGGATCATTCCTATCCAAACCACCCCATGCAAACCATCATCTAAACTCTATATAAGAGTAAAATAATTTAGTCCTATGTGTCTTTCAGTCTGTCTGCACTAGAAGACATGCAAAAACATAAGGTCACTTACAACAGAGCAGTTTGTTCTTAAATGTTAATGAAATACGAACTCAGCTATTAACACAATTCTCTATTTTTCCTGTCAATCCAAATTACCTACAGCCTCTCAGCCACTCTTGTCCTGCGTTTCAAACTGAACTGCACAGCAAACCCATCCCTGTTATGCACCAACTGTGTTCTGCAAGCACAATCCACAATCATTCATGCATCCCAACAGATGCTTCCCCTGAAAATTAACTCATCTGTTTGAGCGGGGACTTGCCAGCACGATCAGAAACTGGGTGTATCCACTCACTAAGGGCTGACCAAACCCTGACATAGAGAACA